AATTGCATACTAGTCGTGAGACAAATTCTCCAAATATGCTCACTTTGTGGCTCTTTCCCATCCTTTTCACTGCTCTCCAAGTGGAAGTGATCTATCTGACTCACATCTTTAAACTTCATGGCCTTCCCACTATTATGATTTCTGATAGAGATAAAATCTTCACCAGCAATATTTGGCAAGAGTTGTTCAAATTGCTTGACACAGATATAAGAATGAGTAGTGCATACCACCCACAAACAGATGGCCAAACTGAACGTGTTAACCAATGTCTTGAAACCTATCTTCGGTGTTTTGTGCATGCTTGTCCTACAAAGTGGTCATAGTGGCTAGCATTGGTAGAATATTGGTATAACACATCATTTCATTCTTCTCTTGGCCAAAGTCCATTTCTAGTCCTTTATGGCCATGAACCAAAACACTTCGGTATTGACATATCTCAAGCTTGCAAGTCCACTGATCTTCAAGGTTGGTTAGAAGAAAGAGCACTTATGCAGTCTCTGGTGCGTCAGCATCTTGTTCGAGCTCAAAACAAAATGAAAGCGCAGGCCGACAAGCATAGATCCCTAAGATCTTTTCAACCAGGTGACTTGGTCTATTTGAAAGCTCAACCTTATGTGCAGACCTCCTTAGCTCAGATATCCTCCAACAAATTGGCTTTTCGCTTCTTTGGGTCATTTCTTATAATTGAGAAGATCGGTCAGTCTGCATATCGTCTGCAACTTCCACCTTATTGTCTTATACATCCAGTGTTTCATGTATCCCAATTAAAGAAGGCGGTTCCATCTACTGCAGTCGTAAGTACATAACTTCCTGATATTACTAATCAGTTGCAGGTTCCGCAAGCAATCCTGGATCGCCGGCTTCGTCAGCAAAATGACACAATGATTACTCAAGTCTTGGTATGTTTGGTCCTACCTCCATGACGCACTCTCCACAGGAAGATGAAGAACCTCACGTCAATAGTTCTGCGGCGCTTTGACCAAAGATAGGAACAAGTCGGTTCTCAAAGAGGGAGGATGTCACCGACGCAGACGACGGCGACCACTCACTGCTAGGAGCGATCTTGCGACTCAAATGGAGGAAAAGAGAAGGGAGCGAGCTCTAATGAAGACTTCGACGAGAAGGGCGTGCAGGCTCACAGCATACAAGGAAGCCCGGCAAGACGCCTATGGGCGAACTAGATCAATTGAGGGAGCTGCGTGGCCTAAGAATGAGGCGATTTATTGCGGTTTCCTTTGTAATGCAAAATGAGAACTATGAAGGACTCGAACTCGGATGAGAACTCGACCGCGTACTCAAGGCGCGACAGCAATGGCGGCGTCTTGGTAATCTCGCTTGATCGGTAGGCTACCGATCGAAGTTTCCACCCGAAATACCTCAAAACTATCGTTGATCTATCGTAGTTCAGATTACAATTGATCAGCCCGTTTGGCTCGACTTGTCTCGCTTTTCTTCACAATCTCTAATCTCTCGTAACACTATTGAATCACCAAACCAACCAAACCAGCCCGTACATCGTAGTTTTGTGTACCAATAAACAAACGGGCTGGATCTTCCGTATCTTGTTCCGCTTAAAATGGGGAGTCTGAAAATGGAAGTCTTGCATGGCCTTCAGTAGTGTAGCATTTCTTTTGATGTTCCATGAGGGGTGTTGGAGAGATATCGTGCTTGATGATTAAAAAAATAGAAAAGAAGGATACGTGCCACTAGGCCACTACACTAGCTAGATCTGGCAATAAGCACAGCCTACTTGATTAAATGCAGAAAAAATCTTGCTTTTGTCAGCGACCATTTGAGATTGAGATTTGACCACACCAAAAGATCCATCTCGCAACCAGCTCCGACACCGGCCAGCGAAGGTCCATCTTGCAACCCGCTCCGGCACCGGCCAGCCAGGATGAACGACCTCATGACCGACTCCTTCGTCGCGCCACGGCCAAGGCGCAACAGGGCGGCGCGGCCGCGGCCGCCCCCGCCGGCGGCAGCGACGACCCGGAGCTCGGCGCGTTCCTGGTCAAGGCAGACGCCGCAAAGACCGAGATGGCCGCGCTGCGCGACGAGCTGTCCCATCTCCGATCCGCGCACGAGGCGTCCAAGAACGCCGTGGTGGGCGCCGGCGGCAGGTCTCCGCGGACCGCCGGTACCTCGCCGTGGCCGGAGACGCGCCGAGCGAGGAGCAGCTGGACCGCCTCCTCCTCCCCAGCAGCACCCAGGATCCCTCCCACACGGCGATGCGGGCGGCACTGCTGTCCGCCGCAGGCGCGGAGCAGGAGGAGACCGCGAAGGAGGTGGCGGAGGTGGAGCGCGGCCTCGTGGAGCTCCAGCAGCTGTTCCTGGACATGGCCGCGCTCGTGGAGGCCCAGGGCGCGCCGCTGGACGACATCGAGCGGCAGGTGGGCGCGGCGGCCGGCGACGTGGCCGCGGCCGAGGCGGAGCTGCGGGAGGCCCGCCGGCTGCAGGGCGCCGCGCGCCGGAGGCGGGTCTGCCTGGCCGGCGGGATCGCGGCACTGCTGCTCGTCGGCGTTGCCGTCGCCGTCGTTGTAGCCCTCGTGCTGGCGCGCAGGGGCGGCGGCGGCGGGAAGCTTGTGGTGCAGCTCGCCGCGGCCTTGCCCGCGCGGTGAAATTCGCTTCGCCTTGGGACTTGGGAGTTGGGATCCCGCGGTTTTCTGGTGTGCTTATTGTTGACGCCTGTGTAGCCTGATTATAACCTGTGTGAATCTTGTCAGTTGTGAACGGCAGTGTTTGTGTTTGGTTGATGTGGAGATCGGATGAAACTTCCTTTCGTTCAAAAATAGATTTTGAATGCAACTTTTGGAGACTGGAATCTTAAGCTAAAAAATGCATGTGATTAAGCAAATGAAGGTGTCCGCAACTCTCAAATGTCCTGCCCTTGCTTGGAAAGTGGAATAATAAGCAAATTAAAAAGAAAAAGAAACGAAAAGGCATTTACAAATACACAAAAGGGCCATGATCTAATAATAAGCAAATAAAAATAAAAAGGAAAAAATGCATCTACAAAAGCAAAATAAATGGAGATGCGGGGGATCGAACCCCGTGCCTCTCGCATGCAAAGCGAGCGCTCTACCATTTGAGCTACATCCCCTTTTATGTTCAGCTCAAGCACAAATAATATATATTTGATTTTATACCCTTTTTTTGGTTCAACCCAAGCACAAATGTTATATATTTGATTTTTGTACATGCAATTAGCTGAAACTGCCCTCTCGTCAGTACGACAAAGCGGCGTGGTTCATAACTATGCTAACGCATAAGTTGGTAGTTGGTGGGTATCATAATGAATCCTGTCAAATTACTCAACGTTTTGCCCATCTTCCACACACTTTGTTAATCATTTCTTTTTGAGTTGGCACTAGATCGGGCGAGTATTTCTTCATTTTTTTTGTGCCCTGGGTCACAAGAAAAAGTAATAATCCTCCTATATCCGAAATCAAATTTGATGGATATTATAGACAATCATGTCAAAAGGGAAAAAGAACAAGTTGCCCTCACTTTGTATGCATCGCTATAGCGTTTTCAACTACATATCGATAAGAATTTGCATATTCCACCGCTATAGCAGCTAAGGCCGCTATAGTAAGCGCCGCTAAATAGGATAGCGTTAGCGCCTCTATAGCGGTTTTAGTGATGATGAAGATCTATGAAGAGAATGAGTTGAGAAGAATTGAGTCTCAAACTTTTACTTGTCTCTTATGAGCCACATGTGCACTAGCTTGTAGGGTGTATGGAACTTCATGTTTGTGTTTGTGTTTGTGATTGGGCTTTTGGACCTTTGTTGCACTTTGTATTTTGCTATGAGCTTTGTAACCTATGATGTCTCTCTTAATGTAAAATAATGTGAGCATGTAATATACGATGATCTTATGCAGTGCCGGATCTAGAAGATTAATTTAGGAGGGGCTTCTCTTATTATCTTCTACCTCTAGCTCATTTTCAAGCTTCTATGGGTACCAATTTATGGCTCCTTTTAATCCAAACACTTCAAGCTCCACGCAGATCCACAATAGAGCAGTTCCACGAAATCCATGGATCTACACCCATGAAGGGATCGTGACGTCTAAGAGCGGGGTTAAATTAGGCAACTTAAAAATCATTTCTAAAAATATGACCTCTAATTTCCACCTAGTCAAAACATATGCAATAAATAATCTATCTAGATGCGCAACTAAGATTTTACTAGGTGTAGTGCTATCTCTATAGTAAAAGAGTTATGCAACCTATGTTCTAATCCTATCATTAGCCTATCAAACTAAGCCAGAGGATGAATACCTTGTTGCCGATTAGGTAGAGGAAGAGAGATCAGAGCGAAGAAATTCGGATTTAGCATGCTTCGGTTTTCGCGATATTGGCCTTGTTCCCTTCGCTGAAAAGCCATGGCTAAAAGTGCTAAAAGTACTGTTCACCGATTTGTTGTAAGAGAAAAACACTATTCCTTCGTTAAAACAGTACGACAAGCGAACAAGGCCATTAAATGTTCATCGGATGGGGTAACATTCCCGATGTTAATACAAAGGGAAAATAGAATTTCGAGAGCAAAATGTGTAATCTTTTTCCTTGATCCTGGTACGGCTAGGATTTGAAGCTGGTTGTTGTAAGCTTTTCTCATTCTGATAAAAAGAGTAGTCTACTCAGAGAAAGAAATGATCAAAATGCTGTGTTTCCTGGATTTTTTTTTATGATTTATCTTAAAAATTAAACTGGGGAATGCAGCAATTCACTCGACCGGGATGGGATTCATGTTTGAACCAAAAGGAAGCGGCACAGCGCACTACGAACTGAGCAGGCCAAGTCGAGCCGGGCCCGATGTGGCTGAGTAGCATTCTCAGCCCATTTAAATTTAAATAGGCCTGGCCAGTCCATGGCCCATCGGCGTGCTCCGTCCGATTCGCACCAGGCTGCTCGGCTAGCACAGCACAGTGGGAGTGTAGCATTTTAGTCCCACATCGGTGGAGCTCAGCAGGTCGCACACCAGCGGCTGCGTTAAAGAGGTCCGGGGTGCGGCCGTTCCAAAGCATGATCCTTCAGGCAGTTAAAGGGAGATGAGGAGTGGTATAAGCTCGCAATTACTATGCGAGAGGGGTGACCGCCCCAACTAAGCCTGTTACGACAACAGGGGCACCCCCAATGACTTTACCATCTGATCCCGACTGCAAAACAAAAAACACAAACACATCTTAGTTTTAGGTCCTACAAGGACCATGGTATCTTCGATGTTTTCAGTATTTCAAATTTTTTTATTGATTTAAACTATCTTTTTGAGATTTGATTTTTATTATAAACAAAAACACAGACATTATTAAGTTGGGTCCTACTAGGGCCATGGTATTCTTTATTGATTTAAACTTTCTTTCTGAGTTTTTGATTCTTGGTAGTGTAAGATTATTTTTTGTAGAAATGAGAAAAATAAACACTTGGGGGACACTGTAGGGCATTTGCTTAAAACTTGTAACTGAAAAAATCCGAAGTGGTGTCTCGCTCCTTTTAGTTTTGGTATTAGGCACTAAACACATATCGTCAAAAATTTTTTTTTTTATAAAATAGGTTTTTGTATATATCTGGAAAAGTTATGTTTACAATTTACGCACTCGGATGAGTTTTGGAATGGTTTTTGGAAAGTTGTATTTGCAGCGGCAGAGACATGACGGATGTTTCTTTAAAAACAAATTCTATACTATATGCAAAAAAACGCATTGTTGAGAAGAATGCTAAAAAACGCCGACCGTGGGGATCGAACCCACGACCACGTGGTTAAAAGCCACGCGCTCTACCACTGAGCTAGGTCGGCTAGTAAAAATTTTCGCTCAAACATTTTATTTGTTGGATATATGTGCATAACATTGTACAGTATCAAGTGAGCGAGTGGAGTAACTCCTACTCTCACATGCGACACTAACTTGATTTTTTTTGGATGCCATCAACTTTTAGATGCGGTTTCATTCATTCTCTCTATGAGACTCGCGCCGCCTACGACTCGACACTCGATTCCTTGAGTCCACATAGACCATTTCTAATGGTTAAATGGATGAAAGTATGAAACCGCACTTTTTCTTGGTAGTTTACACGGGCTCAGGTAAACCCATCCAATTCTCAAGTGGCCTTTCTAAATGGAACCAACATTCTAATTGGATTTTCACGAATCGACCTGTACCACTAGAGCAAGGCAACTTATACCGAAGAGGAAAAGCATTTGGCTCAAAGTTATTCATAATGGCCACACGTGTTCCAAAAGCGCCATTGCAATAGTTGAGTCGGATCCGACTCCCTTGTCAAGTAGATTTATGGAGAACGAAAATTATTGAATTGGCGCGATTATATTGTTTGGTGGAAAATGATAGACGGGCAACAACTACTGTTAATGAGTAGATGTTGTAGACCTAGCAACAGCAAACAGACTAAACGAGAGAGAACATGGTGGATAGCGTCGCAACAGAGAGTTGAACTAAACGAAATTGCACATCTTATGGCTAGGTTGGTACACTAAACGAAATTGCACATCTTATGGCTAGGTTGGTACACTAAGAATGCCAGCGTTTGTCACAATTTCTTGCCAAATTTGACTAAAGGTTAGTTCATCAAATTGGTCATCACACCTTAGCTAGCCTAGGAGAATTTTGCCATATAATTCTTTTTTTTGTAATAACTGACACGTGAGGAATGAGCCGATGGAAAAAAAAAGAGTAAAAATAATCTTATCGAAGTCTATGGTTACAACCAAACAATTGCTAACTTGATCAAATTCAACTAAATTTAGGTGTGACAAAGAGTGGCTAATGGCATGTACCATCAGTTCTAAATTATAAGACGTTTTGATTTTTTTATATACATTGTTTTTACTATATATCTAGACATGGCGTATATCTAAGTGTATAGTAAAAATAATGAATTTGAAAAAGCCAAAATATTCTATAATTTGAAACGGAGATGAGTATCAATTAACCCAGGGTACAATGGAGCGCATCGCTCTCGTGTGCCTCGGGCGGCTCCGTGTTCTTGTCCTGCAGACATGCCGGGCTGCAGCAGGGTCAGGGCACCCTCTGCCTGCTGCTCGTCCGGGCCCTTTCGTTCTATGCGCATGGTCCACATCACCAGCGATGACCGATGACCCATGAGCGATGAAGCCACCGCCCGCCGCACTGTCAGCTCTGGAACGAATGAGATGCGGCGCGACCTCCTTGCCCTGCTACTCCGCGCCAGCTCCATCTCCGTCTCCGGCGGCGCCCGCCACCACCGGCGCGCCTGCGCAGCGCGGACGCTCCACCCGCTGGCCCTCAAGTCCGGGCGAGCCTCGGAGACCCGCGTGGCGACCGCGCTCGCCGTGGCGTACGCGCGGTCGGGCCTCGTCGCGCACGCGCGCCGCGTGTTCGACGAAACACCGCCGCCGCGCAGGGACCTGGTCCTCTGCAATGCCATGGTCTCCTGCTACGCCGCCCACGGCCTCCCGCGCCAGGCCTGGGCGCTCTTCGCCGCCTTGCGCCGCTCCGGGGCGCTCGCCCCCGACGGGTTCACCTTCAGCGCCCTGCTCCGTCCGCCGCCGCCGCGCCGCCACCCCGACGACGCCGTCGACGTCCGGGTGCTGCTCGCGATGGGAGCCCTGGCGCATGGCCTCGTGCTCAGGCTGGGTCTCCTCGCGGACGTGGTGGTCGCCACCGCGCTGCTCGACATGTACGCCAAGTGCGGCCGGGTCGACGAGGCGCGCTGGGTGTTCGACGCTATGGCGGTCAGGAACGTCGTGTCCTGGAACGCGATGGTTGTCTGCTACGGCCGGGTTGGTGGTGGAGGCAAGGACGCCGTTGAGCTGTTCCGGCGGATGCTGAGAGACGGGAGCTGCTGCCCGGATGAGCTCACGCTTGCCAGCGTGCTAAGCTCGTGCGCCAGCATGGCGGCAGCAAACGAGGTCACTCAGGTTCATGCTCATGCCGTAAAGAGGGGTCTGCACGGGTTTCTGCAGGTGGCCAACGCTGTTATCACGGCTTATGGCAAGGCCGGTTTTGTTCGAGAGGCGATGCAAACGTTTGCTATGGTCTGCAACCCAGATGTAGTTTCGTGGTCCTCTATGATTTCCTCTTACGCATACCTTGGACTCTCTAAGGACGCAGTTCATGTGTTTGAGAGAATGATCCAACAAGGCGTACAGCCTGATGGCATTGCCTTCCTTGGAGTTCTTTCTGCCTGTAGCCATGCTGGTCTTATTGAAGAAGGCTTACACTATTTCCTTATGATGACGAGGGGCTCTGGCATTGATCCAAATCCACAACATCTTGCTTGTCTGGTTGATCTCTTAGGGAGAGCTGGTAGGATTGAAGATGCTTACAAGATTGTTACAAGACTTTCTTGCGAGAGAAACGCTGATATTGTTGGAGCTTTTCTTGGTGCTTGTAAGATGCGGGGCAAAATCGAGTTGGCAAAGTGGGCCGCTGATAGGCTTTTATGCCTGGAACCAAGTGAGGCAGTAAATTATCTGCTTATGTCCAATGCATTTGCTGCTGCAGGATCTTGGAGCGAGCTTGCAAAAGTAAGAAGTGTGATGAGACACAGGTGTGGCAGCAAGGTTCCTGGCTGTAGCTGGATAGAGATAGGTGGAATGGTTCGGACATTTGTCTCCAACGATGTGGTGCTCCATCAGTCGACTGAAATGCAACAAATGATGCAGCTTACTATTTCAGAAGCACGAAAAGAGTGGAACGAAGACACAACTTGTGATGATCCAATTTTAGTTCGAGAATGTCAGTGATACAGATGTTTGATATATTATTCTGGGTTAGTTTGGCATCTGCAATAGTCCCAGAGCTTATCAATGTGATTTTTCTCATGTAAGTGGTATGTATTAATTTTAGTGTATTTATGCCAGCTGATCATCACACTAACTAAATTGCCAAAACTGACTTGATTTGGTTGCATAAAGATAGGATCTATGTAACCTTAGGAAAGCAGAAAATAGCATTATGTTTATTCTGTGTTATATTTGTTTAGTATTAGAATGAACAGTATAGAATCATTATTTTTACGATGGTGCAAATCAATATTTTACATGTTCTACAATATGAAGATATGAGTTTTCATGATTTCAAATTCTGTAAACTTATTAATAATTTAACAAATATGTGATATTTACTGCACTTTCTTGGGAAATGATATACAAACTACTTCATTTTCCTTGAAAACAGCAGTGGCTCCTTGCATATATATATTTCATTTTCTTTTTGCCATAGTGCAGTTAATTTAATATTTGTTGATTGTGTTCGATTTTACATGTTTATATTGCTGTACTTTCCATTTCCAGTTCATAAGTTGGTAAGATGTTTACCAGGTAGTTGAGTGCTGTTTTAGATAAATAGATATCTAGCCTGATATTTCTCTTTTTTTTTTGAACGCAATGACAGGAGCTTTGCCTTTCAATTAAGGTAGGGAAAGAGAGTTTATGTACAAGCAAAGACACTCCAAATGAGGTTTTAAAGCTCCCCGAAGCAGGAATAAGAGGGAACCCCCCCCAAGGGGAAACAACAGCTAAACGTAAGTGAGTGCTCTCTTCCTTCGCTCTATGTCTTCCTTTATTCTTGCGGCACCGTTTCTATCTCGTTGTTGAAAATTCTCCTGTTTCTCTCTTTCCAAATATTCCAAAAGGTGTTGCCGCCTCTTCCCACCATGCTCTGATATGGATGGGGTCTGCCTGGGGCTGTTGTTGCAGCTGAGTGAAATTTTACCAAGAGAGGATTTGATCCCAAACCGCCTTAGCAAAAGGGCAACATAGACATAGGTGGAGGCCGGTTTCCAAGGGACTGTTGCACAGCACGCAGTGTTCTTGGTGTGGCCACCCTCTCTTTTGTATGTTGTGTGCCGTAAGAATTTTATCTTGCACCAAAATTCAGGCGAAGATCTTGCATTTGTTCTCCACTTGTGCTTTCCAAATGAGTTCAGTACGGAACAAGACGAGGGAGCCTTGAATTGAATTCTTGCAGTCCTGCTGTTGTTGCATGAGTAGCTGTGCCACATGATCTCAATTTGAGTTAGCAGATTATATATGATACTAGTTAACTTTTTCACCTGTCATGTATTAAGGATACTGGTGTTGACTTGGAAGAGGGTCCAGGTCCCATCTTGTTTACCAAAACCAACACCCTTTAGGATTGCATTCAATTTGATCATTTTGCACTGAACTTGTGCATCCAAAGGATTAACAAGATAGTGCAGCAGGTCTATTTCTTGTCCCTGCACGAAGTAAATGTTTCTTTCCTTAGTTCGTACCTTTCTAGATTCCAGTATTCAGTGTTGTCTTCTGTGCTTCGGGTAGGTACTCACAGATATGACTGATGTTAGAGTTAACTGCTGTAATACCCCAAGAATGAATGCCATAAATAAGAATTTTAATATGGATCAAGTGTTCTTTTTTTGGCGAAGGTTGACCGGATTTAAGGAGAGACCGAAAATTTGACTTTTTGATCCGTTGCTTGGATGGTTTAATGGAGACCACCATTGCGTAGAGCTCGTCGAATACTTTCCGTTTGACTGCTTATTCGCATTAATCGGGCTATCGATGGTGAAGTTATGTTATTTGTTAGTTTTATGAAAAAAAGCCACGTACCTGTTATGAAGACCTGGTGTGGGTTTTCTTTTTCTTCATGACCAATTCCCCTTCTGTGACTTTCCATATGCCGTGTTTCTCCCCTATGGCTGAACCTCTCCTTTGCCACCAGCCCTAGCTCTCTGATTCACGCAAGAGAAAAGGGAAGAGGAAGAATAGGAGAGGACGAGAGAGGATTTAGGGCTTGCTGGTGTCGTCCGCCGCCGCTCGCAGTCGCTCAAGCGCTGTTCTTTCACGGATGTTTGGTTAGGCATCATCTTGTCTCCCTATTTTTGCCATCAATTTCTTGTTCCCTTGCTGTCCATGATGGTTACCCTACGTGCGACATAGATCGGAACGCCGATCCAGTCATAGCGGCGTAGATCGCTGTGAAGTGAAGACAATGGAAGGAAGGAGTGGATTGCTGGGAGTTTGTCATCATGCTCGCTGCATTTTCCCTAGGTGAGATGCCAAATACTAATCCACCTCTTTGGATCAAGTTTTGTGGATGGAATCCTTGAATTAGAAGGGGTATAGTTAGAGTAATTCCCGAAATTGTCGAAATTAATTTTCGTCCTTGTTCTGAAATTCTGTCAGACTGAACAGTTCTATTCATCGCTGTTTATGGCTTTAATAAATTTTGTCACTGTGGAAAAAGTCGTAGAGGACTTCAATACCTTTCTTTCGACAGCAAGATCACCCTCATAGGCTCTGTATTTTTGGAGTTATAGTTTTTCTAAGAAGGCTGTTTTGCAGTGACGAGAATCTGGGCTGTTTTAGATCTATCCAATTTGTGGCCCTCGTAATGGAGGAATTTGAACTTGTGATCTAAATGAAAGTTGTAGAGTTTTTCTTAAGCTTTCCAGATTGTTATACAACATATTTTGTGGATGAGCATACCTCCAGTTATCAATTTTATAATATTATTGTCTTGTTTTGACCGTCGAAAAGTTCAGTTAAATTAAGAGGATGATCATGCTATCTTGGAGACCTCTTATGCAGAATCTTATAATACAAAACTTGTAGATAATGGAGTTCTCTATCATCTGATAGATTTTCAGAATTTTTGAATGTATAGTTAAATGTCTATGAAAAAGACAAGGGACAGTGCTGCTGTCATGATTGGTAGCGAAACGGTAGATGCTTAAACGGGGGGTTTGGGATGCTTTAGTGTGTAATTGTTGTTTGTCTTGTTAGTACGATGATGTTGGTACTGAGGTTGGCTTATGATCAGGTGGTTTGCCTTCGTAGCGCGCCTAGCTCTTTCATTTGATCGTTGGTAAAGGCAAGTAAACGTGGCATTGTGGTCCACATTTAGCTTTGTTGTTTGAATTGCCTCCACTAAATTTTTAGTATCTCACACTAGCCATGTAATCTAAAATTTGAAGTTTTTTGCCTTTGAAGTATATGATTTCATATCTTGTGATATTACTTTTGAATTATGAAGTATATATGAACTAGGTACGTTACAACACTTGCATTCACACTTTTTTCCGAAGACAATAGCACGCACGTTGATGAGCAATGTGGTTGCAGCCCTCACTCCCTCTTATTGGGATGTGTGGGTACAAGTGAAGTCATGCATTGCATTGCATTATTTGCATTGCACTTGGAAGTATATCTATATTACTACGAAGCAGTTGATGTCTCTACTATTATGCTATTTAAACCTGATGCTTAATCGAACTATGATTTGAATAACTTGGTTGAAGCAGTTTGTTTGCTGAGGTTTACCATAAACCTCACGCTTGTTGTTCCCCGCCTCAGGTACATGAGCTTCAAGGATGCTTGGCGGGATGGGCGTAGCTGCACGAAAGTGCACACTTTGGCCTAAAGTTCAAACAAACACATGTATTACAACAAATTAGTTGGTTGTCGGAGGTTTTTTTTTTGTACATTGTTTTAAACACCTTAGTTTTGCTAGTTGTCTTTGAAGATATCTTTGTTTATGTCATCGTAGAAGACTTAATTAAATGTTCAACTTAGTTTGTTGCTTCAGCGTTCTCTGATGATGTGTTCTTGTTAGATTGTAGTGTGGTAATACTCCAGAAGGAAATTTATGTTGTTTTCTTCTAGGGTGTTACAATTGCAGTGTTGAGTGGACATGCCACATTAACGCAATGGGTTCTAGAGTTGAGTGTGTTCATAATGTAAGTTCTTAAGATACCCATGAACCATCACTGCCAGTTGTGTATGATTTCCTTTTCTGATAAAAGTCCTTAGTGCTGCTCAACTTTAAATTCAGGGATGGGGGTGTTGCTGTGCTGGTCAAGAGTCAAGACTGACCCGATGACCTTACAGAACAAGAGGACCCTGAAAGGTACTTCACCCTCAATTATGGAACTCTAAGTCTCTACGTGAAAACTTGAACATTACCAACAATGAAACCAAAATTTGATCTATGAGCTACTTCCAGATGGGAACATTGTCAGTAAATGAACTTGGTTGATACGCTCTCACTAAAAAAAAGTGTTCCAACATGGATCTTAATAAGGCATTCAATCTCATGCTTAAATGTGTACCCAATGCAACACTTGGCATGCATATCAATCCAGTAGTCATTTCCATCTTAAAGAACCAGCTGTCCATGTTGAGTGTTGCTTCTCAAGAATCATCCAAGTGAACCATACGCCAGTTTTCTATCCCTTTTTTTCCTTGACAAATCAGGGTTCTATCTTCTATACACTGCATATACACCTTTTTGTTTGCATGCATCATGCAAGTTTGACTCATTTCTCCATAAGACCTGGCTGGTTTCCTCTGTGTCCCAACTAGGGAAGGTTGTTACAGCGCAAAAAAAGTCCTTACCTGGAGAAAGACGCATTTGTTTTATACTACGATTTTCCTCTTTGGCTCTGTAGTCCAATTTATTTGTTTTGGATTTGACATTAAAACTACCATGAGATAAAGAATAGGAAAAAATGACTTTTGAAATGTAACACCCCAGGTGTTTGGTCTCCACATTTGCACTGCATTTCATGAACATGAGCATCATGCATCCATTCGTGAACTTATATCACATGAAACATGATTTCGAAACATTGCAACATGTTGTATATTTCATGTGTATTGTTTCTTTTATGAAATGTAAAGTGTGCAACACTTAAGTGCAGCATGTGCCACTCACTTAGTGAAACAAGGTTAGTTAGTACTATGCAACACACTCATGAAAC